AGTGATTGGGGGTCACTTGAGGGATTTGTAGGGTGCTGGTAATGTTCTATCGCTTGATCCAGTGATGATTTCATGGGGTTTTCTCTTTATGGAAATTCATTGAGCTATATAGTTATGATTTGTGCACATATCTGTATATAGGTTATAACTCAATTAAGACTTTACTTAATAACATTATATAGCTAATAACAAAAAAATAATAATAGTTGATCAGTAAATAGGGTGTGTTTCCAGAGATCAAAAAACATGTTGTGCAATCACTGATCAAGATGGCGGAGTAGACAGTCCCCAGCGTCACTCTCTCTCACAAATCAACCAATTTACAACTATAAAAGTGTAACATCAGCCAAGCTGGGGCCGCTGGAGCTCAGGGGAAGAGGAGGAGAGAGGCCGCTGGAGCTCAGGGGAAGAGGAGGAGAGACCTACAGAGCTAATGAAGGCAGGAGAAGCCACAATGAGAGAAACTGCTCTGAGCATTTCGGGCTGCAGCCGCTTTAAGGCTGGAGCACATGGAGCAGGAGCCGGCAGAAGCCGCAGCTGCCCTTTAGACGGGGTTACTTGGAGGTGGCAGGGGAGAAGAGGGCCTTGGTGGCCCCCAGGACAGCAAGACCACTAACAGGGTTCCCGTGGACCCACGCAGCTGTGAGGAGCCACAATAGCTGAAAAAGGGGAGCCACTCAGAGGCCGGTGAGTCATCACAAGGGACCAGCACAGGGCCCGTCCCATGGGAAGTGTTTGCAGCATGGGCGGTGGGCGAGATGAGAACACCGGGAGAACACTGTGACACAGCAAGGACAGCCAATCCGCACCCAATCAGCACAGGACCACTCAGAGGAGACTAGTCAGGAATGCAGAATTGCGTGGGGTGCAGTTTGATGAAAAAAAAAAACAGGCCCAGATCAGAGTTTCTATACAACCCAGGTGCACTGAGTATCTGGAGAGCTGGAAGTACCTATAAGGTCAACCATTAAACCCTGAGCTGCACAAAAAGCCTTCCCTAGGGAAACAGCAGGAAAGCAGCAATTTAGCTCAACCACACAGCTCAAGTACTGGTTCCCACAGGAAGTTCCCACGTGTCAGAAGTAAGGAAAGGACAAAAGATTAGTTCTGGCCCAGGCACACCACCAATGCCTTGGGGCCCGCTAGCGGACGTGAGGCATGGAGAAGGGGACAGGACCCCTGCCCACAACCACTCACACTACCAGTGCCTCGGCACGCACCCAGGAACCTGAGACATGGAGCTGGGGACTGGACCCCACTCCCATATCCAGGCACACTGCACCAGTGCCTTGGGCCCGCCCGGGGATCCAGGGCATAGAGCCGGGGACCTGACCACCGCCCCCACAACCAGGCACACCATGCCAGCACCTCAGGGCCAGCCTGGGGACCTGAGGCATGAAGAAGGGGACCAGACCCCCTCCCACAACCAGACACACCACGCCAGCACCTTGGGGCCCAACTGGGGATCTGAGGCATGGAGTCAGGGATCAGACACTCTCCACAACCTGGCACACTGCCAGTGTCAAGGAGCATGCCAAAAACATCACCTCCATGTGGGTGGCTCAACACATCCACCACAATAACCACAGCTGCCGTGAAAGTGGCTAGACCCCACAACCACCACACAGATGGTCCACCAGCCACTGGAGTGCATTGACACAAGGAGAGTCACCAGCAGAGAAAAGAAGAGGACGTCTCTCTCCACAAAGCCCATTTCAGAGTGACAGAAGAAGCATCTGCTCTATGATAATATTGGGGGACCTGATCACACCCCTCAGCACTGGACAGATCATCTAGGCAACAAATCAACAGCGTGACCATTATTATTTCAGGCGAGAAGAAATCTAGGACAATTAGAGGGGGAGGGGGAGGGAGGAGGAGATGGGGAGAGATTGGACAAGGGGCAAAAAGAATAATTATGATTTGTAACTATATATATGCTAGTAATATTGATTTTATCAACATATCTCAATGTTGAACCCCAAAAATATGTATAATCAATTTTGATTCAATAAAAATTTTTTAAAAAAGAAAAAACATCACCAAGTGAGTAACATTTACTATGTATGTAATTGTGTCCCTTTATAGTTACAGTCCTTTTCACCCATGGAAAATTTAAGATAATAAATTGATTATGACCAATCAAAAAAAAACATGTAGTGCTTCCTTGGCAAAACCAGCATCGTGCCTTTCTCTGAAATTCAGCTGCTTGTGTGTGCCTCTCTTGGTATTATGTTTTTCTCAAGTAAACTGGTTAACAGCTGTAGATTACTGAGTTAAGTTCTGACCCATTTTTTTTTATTGCCAAAGATCTGTCATCAGCTGATAACTATCCTAATACAAAACGTTAGATCATTTCCACTTCTGATGGCTTTAGTTCTTCTTGCAGAAAAGAAATCTTTATTGTTAGCTCCTTTTTCTTTTTCGTTTTTTTCTTTTTTTAATATTTTTCTCTTTAGCACTATTGGATTATGCAGATTTCTTTTTAATATTTTGCTCTTTAGCACTATTGGATTATGCAGATTTCTCCAAGAGATCAAACTTCCCATACTTGGGACCTTACTCTCAGATGGCTACTTTGTGCAGATAGCAAGCATGTTTGCATTTATTCCAATTTTTTATTTTTTGGAGGCTGGACAATATGGGGATCGTATCAATCCTTGACCTTGGTGGTATAACACTGTGCTCTAACAAACTGAGCTAACCAGCCAGCCCCCAGCTTTTTAGATGCAGAAGATTTTTAATACAGGAACGTTAAGAAAATAGAAGTGGTCCTACCATCATACACTAGTACGTGAAATGCTTTCATTTAATACTTGTCTGTACTCTTTGTAACAGCCTTCATCTCCTTCCTGCCTATCATATCATTTGAAAAATAAGAAAAAAATTGCTGAACTTATAATATCTAATCTTATGACTTACAAAACTACAGAAATTAAGACAGTGTGGCATTAGTGTAAATACAGACAAAGGGATTGCTGGAACACAGTAGTGCCTGGAAATAGACCCATCCATACATGATCAATAGATTTTGAACAAATGTGCCAAGGCAATTCAGTGGGGAAAAGACAATATTTTAAACAAGTGGTGATGGAACAATTGGATATCCGTAAGCAAAATAACAACTTCTGCCCTGATTTCCCACCATTTTCAAAAATTTACTTGAAGTGGATCATCTAAATGTAAGAGCTACATCCATAAAACTTCCAGATGTATGCATTAGGAGAAAATCTTAGTAATGTTGGGTTTGGCAAAGATTTCTTAAATCTGACACAAAATGCCCAAACTATAAGAGGAAAAAATCAATGTATTGTATTTGATCAAAATTTGAAACTTTTGCTCTTCAAAGACATTGTTATGGAAATGAAAAGGCAGGCCACAGACTGGGACAAAATATTTGCAAAATGTATGTCTAATAAAGGACTTGTACCTAGAATTGAAAAAAAAACAAAAACAAAAAACCTGTTACACTCAATAATGCAAAGACAGCCCACTTTTTAAAATGGGCAAAAGATTTGAACAAAGCACTACAGAAAAGATCTAGAAAAGTTTGGCAGTTTGTTAAAAAGTTAAGCATGAACCTACCCAATTGTTCCACTTCTGGTTATTTATTTACCAACAGACATGAAAGCATATGTTTGCACAAACTTGTACATAAATGTTCGCAGCAGTTTTATTTGTAAGAGCTAATATATACTATATGATTTTGCTTATACAAAATTCTGGAAAGATGCAAACTGATCTGTGTTTACCTGGCAGTAGGAGTAGGGTGGAAAGAAGAGGAAGGGAACTAAGAGGCACCAGCAAACTTTGGGAGGTGATGGATATGTTCATTATCTTGATTCTGGTGATGGTTTCACAAGTGTATACATATGTCAAAATTTGCCAAACTGTACACTTGACATATGTGCATTTTATTGTATGTCGATTATACCTTAATAAAGCTATAAAAACAAAACAGTTATACAGAAAAGGAAATGTAAGCTTGGCTTAGCTCTGAGTAGCACAAATAGTAAAATAAGGCAAACATCCATTTTTTTTTTTTAGCAAAATATAAATTACATGAGGGCAACAGGAAATATGTGGGATTGGGGTTGGGGGTCAAGGATAGGAAAAATGCTTGTATTCCATAGTGGGCATTCAGTAGCAAAAGCCTAAGACTGAAAAAATTAGGGTCAACAGACACATATATTATTTAGGGACATGGAGGTAAATATTAAGAATCAGCTTAAAGTGGCTATCTCTGAGAAAGGGAAACGAGATTACTGGTCTTAATACACATGGAATTAATTAAACCATATGAAGGTATAACTTGTATATAAATAAAAGCTTTTATTTTATTTTATTTTATTTGTTTTTTTGTCTTTTTCCGTGTCCGGCAACGGATCGCAACCCTCAGTGTTGCCCCCGTACCGGACCGGGGACCGGCAACGGGATTGCAACCCTCGGCGTTGCTCCCGCGCCTCGCTCAGCCAGTGAGCGGGAACCGGTCTGTATGTGGGATCCGAACCCTCGGGCGGGAGCGCCACCACGCTTCCCAAGCGGCGCACTATCCAGTGCGCCACCAGGCCTGCCCCTAAATAAAAGCTTTTAAATGTATCATCAAATCACAGTCCCTGGTCTGCCCATCTGCAGAAGGGGCTCTGTGCCCACCCCCACCTCCAGGGTCCATCCAGAACAGATGTTCAGGTGGAAGAAGGGGAAAATTACAAATTTGTAAGTAAAATCTTTTTAAGAGCACCAGGGAGCTTTTGCTTTGAAGAGCCCTGTGGTTAATCTCTTGGGAATCCTGACACTGGGACTTACATATTTAAAGTGTGCTTACGTTGAGAGATTCCTATATATATATTTTTTCATTTCTTTAATTACAAGAGCCCAAAACAAAGGAGATATTTGAGAAAATGTGACGCTTTTAAGATAACATACATTCTTCTAAGCTCTGAAGGGAACACGGACCTGATGACCTATTAAATGTCTCTTTTTCTTGTTCTTTTTTTCAGGTGGTCACTTCTTTCATCGAAACTCTTTATCCCCTCGAAGCCTGGTGTATGAAAGTGAATTCTCCACAATCGAACCTTCTTTGGACATGTATGATGAGAACAAAACCTGATTTTTAAGAATGGGCTGTCGGGGTCACCTCTTTTGTGATTTGATTTATGATCACCTTTCTTATTTTGTATTCTTCTGTCAGCATCCATTTTGGAAGAATGGTGGTGCTTTCAGGCACAGGTTGGGGTTCAGAGTTAAATTGCAAAGTTCCTCCGAGGTGAGGCTTTGAGGACAGCATTACTGCCTATGTGAGCCTCATGGTACCAAAAACCCGCCCAAAGCTGGCCACTGGATGTGGGTGCCCAAAAAGCCCAGCCGTTTCCAGACAAGAGGTGGGGACCTGGGGTTAACGTAGCGTTACAAATGTGTCTCTGAACAATCACGTGCTAGTCTGTGTCAGGATGGAGTTGGGGTTTTTTAAAATACTTTTTGTGATCCCCATGTACAATGTGTACTCAAGCCTGCAGGTGAAGCTTCTTCCCAATGGCAAGCGCAAGACGCTGCTCCTTCACCTGCCCTGTGTTTTCCTCTGCCTCTTACTCCTTGTCCAGTTAAAAGGCCTCTTTCTTAAGGGGGCTGAGAGAAAGCCTTGCCTTTTGTAACTCCTCTGAGACTCTGACCACCCTATTTCGTACCAGAGCACAGGGCTGGGGCCTGTGCATGGGACAGGTGGTCATCTGCATTGTCATTTTCCAGCCTCCGTGTTGAGCATGACATGAGGTGACAAATGTTTCTGTAACCACCAAAACCCTGAAGACCCCCCTGACCCCACAGCATGTGGACTTGTCTACCTGGCAATCACTGAGGTGTGTGTATGAGGAGGTGGCACCAGGAGCCCAGCCCAGCAGTCCCTCTGGGCACACTCTTCTTAGGGGGCACGGCCAGCAGTTGTCAAAATCAGAATAATTTTCAATGTTTTATTTAGAAGACCAAACCACCTTTCTGCTGCTACATATCAGATAAGCACCCCTCTTCAGTCTTCATTGGTCCAACCCAGTCCCCTCCCACCGGCCTCAGCATCAACCTAAAGAAAGCACAGGAGCACTGCCAGCCAGGCTTACAGCAAAGGACGTAGCCAGCGTGGTGGCATAGGGGGCACATGTGCTCTTTCCACACATCTGGGATGACATCAAGTTAACATGATGAGAAACTTGGATATTACAAGTAACCCCAGCACAGAACCATGATAAGCAAATTTATAAAACAAATCTACACATCCTTTTTGCAAAAGGACGTGCCATAGTTCAGTCTGCTTCTCCTTATTAATATGAGCTATGTAGAGGTGTAAAGGCATTCAGATCCTTGTTGTGAGAAGGAAATTTTAGTCTCCATATGCCTGGCGTTAGATTTGACAGCAAATCAAGCAGACACCTGAATCTCCCTGCCCTGTTATTTTTATTGACTGTAGAAGGTAAGTTTGAAATGAACACTTGCCGTTTTTCCACGTGTGGCTTCTCCTCTTTAACAGCATCTTTTCTTGTAATGTGTTGCTAAGATGCCTCAGACACAAGTGTGTCCAAAACAAAAATCCTCAGAGAACCGAATGGTGACAGCCTTTAGGAATGTCACTGCAGAGTGAGCAGCAGCATTTTGTTTTTAATAACTTGAGACTGTAACAGTGAAGGTTTTTAAGGTCTTATCAGCTTTTGTTTTTTACCTGTTATCAAGGGCTTTAGTTTGGTTCTTTCCTGTTTATAGTCTTTGTACTCTACAAAATATTTTTGATATACAGTTTCAAGGCAGCATTGTTCAGAAAGTCAGGTTTGCTCCAGCAGGTTCTCAGTGAGTGAATGTGTCTCAAAGAGATGAGAACTCCGTTTGCCAGAGGTTTTGGACATGCACTGCATTTGTGTGTGGTTTGGTTCACCTGGCAGAGAAGGGTACCAGTTCTCATTATTGCCATGTTGTCCACACCACAACCTTGTTTTCCAGAACCAAAATTCAGATACCAATGCAGCATTTACTTCTGACTTGTACAGTCTTACAAAAGCATACATATTAAATTGCACTTGAGACAGTTTCTTTAGTGAAAAGGAATGAAACTACTTGAGAAGAAATCAAAATACAGGTCCCTAAAATCTATCTATTAATATAATATTTGAATTCCTGGGAAATCTGGGGCACTTGTTTACTGTAGGATAACCACGGAGGCATTTCTTACAGGGGAATTACTCAGAATAGTGCTCCAGATCCCAGCTTGGCATCCTTTTCCTGAAAATCGGGGCCACTTTCTGGCTCAGCTACAGAATGTTCTGTCTTTATTAGGAGGGACACTAACTTCTCCATTGTCTTAGTTTGTTATGTGTTGCTATAACAGAGTACCTGAGACAGGGTAATTTATAAACAATAGAAACTTATTTTTTACAGTTCTAGAGGCTGGGAAGTCCAAGTCAAGAACTCTGTGTCTGGCAAGGGCCTTCCTGCTGTGTCATTGCATGGTGGAAGGGCAAGAGAGCATGTGTATGGGGGGGGAGGGAGTTGAATTCATCCTTTAATCAGAACCCACTCCCACAACAACTAATCCACTCCCAAAATAAGGGGATTAATCAATACACGAGGACAGAACCCTCATGACCCAGTCTCCTCTTATTATTTTTTTTTTTTTCCTTTTTGTCTTTTTTCATGACCAGCAACGGATCGCAACCCTCAGTGTCGCGCCTGTACTGGCCCGGGACCGGCAACGGGATCACAACCCTCGGTGTTGCCCCCGCTCCTCGCTCAGCCAGTGAGCGGGAACCGGTCTGTATGTGGGATCCAAACCCTCGGCGGGAGCGCCACCACGCTTCCCAAGCGGCGCACTGTAGCAGTGCGCCACCAGGCCGGCCCACAACATTAAGTCTTAAAGCTAGAAGATGATCTCCTTTGACTCTGTGTCCCTCATCCTGGGCGCACTGGGGCAGAGGTTGCACCCCCAAGGCTTCAGGCAGCCCACCCCTACAGCTTTGCTGGGCTCAGTCCACCCAGCAGCTCTCGTGGGTTAGAGTCTCATTCCTGCAGCTTTCCCAGGCTGGAGTTGCATGCTGATGGCCCTATAGTTCTGTGGTCTCAGGGGCTGCCTCACTCTCACAGTTCCACTAGGCATTGTCCTAGTGGGTACTCTCTATAGTGTCCCCACACCTGTGAGAAGTCTGTGCCTGGGCCCCCAGGTTGTCTATAATATCCTTTGAAATCTAGATGAAGGCTTCCATGGCCCCACAACTCTTGCATTCTGCACGCTTGCAGAATTAGCACTACAGGAAGGTTACCAAGGTTTATGGCTTGTACCTTTCAGAGCAGCAGGTCAAGCCAGACCTGGGCCTGCTTGAGCCATGGCTGGGGTGGCTGAGGAGCACTGTGCTGGAATGTGGGGAGCAGTGTCCCAAGGTGGCCCTGGGCAGTGAATACTGAGGTCCCACAGATGCCTCTCTGGAAACCTTGCCTTCAAGGTCCTAGCTTGCCTAAAAGATCTCTGAAATGCCTTCAGGATCACTTTTCCACTGTCTTGAATAGAACCTGGCTTCCTTCTATCCATGTTAACCTCTTTAGCAAACAGTCACTTGGCCACACCCTTAATATTCTCCTCCAAACATGCTTTTTTATTCTTTACATGGTTAGGCTGAGAGTTTTCCAAATCTTTCCATTCTGCTTTCCTTTTATTTATAAATTCCATCTTTAAATCATTTCTCTATTCCCTCATTTTACTGGAAGTGGCCAAAAGAAGTCATGCAGCACCTTGAATGCTTTGCTGCTTAGATATTTCTTCTGCCAAATGTTCTAGTTTATCACTCTTAACTTCTGCCTTCCATAAAGCCCTAGAACATGGATACAGTTCTGCCAAGATCTTTGCAACTGTATAACAAGGATAGATAGCCTTTGCTCCAGTTTCCAAACCTTGTTCTTCATTTTCGACTGAGACCTCATCAGAATGGCCTTTACCTTCCATATTTCTATCAACATTCTGATCATGATCATTTAAGTATTCTCTAAAAAGTTCCAGAATTTCCCTGTTTCTTTTCTTCTGTGCCCTCACCTCAGTTGCCCTTATAATGCTCCATTTATGGCAACCTAGGCTTTTTCTAGCCTACTCCTCCAAATTTTCCCAGCCTCTACCCATTACCAGGTTCCAAAGCTGCTTCCACATTTTCAAGTATTGATTGCAGCAACAACCTCACTTCTGGTACATTTCCTGTCTTAATCTATTATGTATAGCAACAGAATACCTGAGACTGGGTAATTTATAAACAATAGAAATATATTACAGTTCTGGAGTCTGGGAAGTCCAAGTTTGAGATGCCTACATCTAATGAGAGCCTTCTAGCTCTGTCATCCCACATGACACAGAGGCCCCATGACCTAATCACTTCTTAAAGGTCCCACTGCTCAACACTATTGCATTGGAGATTAAGTTTCCAACACATGAACTTTGAAGGACACGTTCAAACCATGGCATCCATCAAGGTCATATGCTTTGAGAATAGATAGGATGGCATTTTTTACCCCAAATAACAGCCTCTTTACTAGCAACTACACAGAGGGGAAATCAAGTCTGAGTCACCCCAAGGACTGCAGCAGGGAATAGGGACAGCCAGGGCTGCTTGCTAGGCCAGTCATGTGAGGACACACTTCTCACCATGGGTACCCCTGTCTCTTAGGAGCTCAGGAAGCACAGTATATTGACTGTTGCAGGCATGGTTGGGGGTGCAGAGAGGTATTTCTTCCACAGCAAATGAGTATCTCAATTCTTGCAAGTCCCACCACCAACAGTAGTTATTAGTCATCATTTTCCTGGGTGGTGGTGGGGGGTACTATCTGAAGAAAGGAAGGGGTCCAGGAGTGAGCAATTTACACTGCAGATCCTCCATGCCTCTGGAGGCCTGCTCCAAGCTGGGCCTGTCTCCAGCCTCTTCCTCCCGTACCGCCTACATCCTGTGCCCGGGGGAAGCTGGGTGCAGAGCATTGGCACGTGCTACAGGATGCATGTGGAGTGGGTCTGCAGCAGCCAAGACACCTGCTGGGAGTTGGGTTGTGACAGTTAAAATGTACATGCTTAAGTTTTGGTGATTTTTCATGTCCTAAGGGAGGAACTGCCAGCTACAGGATGCATGTGGAGTGGGTCTGCAGCAGCCAAGACACCTGCTGGGAGTTGGGTTGTGGCAGTTAAAATGTACATGCTTAAGTTTTGGTGATTTTTCATGTCCTAAGGGAGGAACTGCCAATAGCCCTTGTATTAGTCCATTTTGTTGCTTATAAAAGAACACCTGAGACTGGGTGATTTATAAAGAGAATGAAAAGTATCGCTTACAGTTTCTGAGGCTGGGAAGTCCAAAGTCCATCTGGTGGTGGCGACAGTGACCCAGGGGTGTCACATTGCAAGATGGTGGAAGCAGAGAGAGCAGAGAGAGAGAGAGAAAGACAGACTCCTCTTCATTTAAAGCCCTCAGAACCACGCCCCTGACCACCATTTTTAATCCATTCTCTACTGCACGGTCCTACAATCCAATCACCTCTTCAAGGCTCCACCTTTCAATTACCATAACAAGATTTCCCACCCTCTTAACAGTCACAGTTGGGGGCAAGTTTCTAATACGTAAAACTTGGGGGACACAATTCAAGCTTCAGGGAGTTTGGGGGGACATAATTCAGTCCACTACCGCCCTCCTCTCCTTTTACTTCAGGGAGAGGTGGCTGGCCAGACAACAGCCAGGGCTTCCTCTGTAGGAGGGCCAGGCTGGAGGTTGCAGCGGGTGGTGATGAGCATGCCTGTTCAGGGCTGCCTGCCTCTGCCCTCCTTGGAGGAAGACAGGCTCTAGGACCAGGCATTAAAAACTCCTCACAAGATCCAGTGAGCCTTGCTTTCAAAGATAGGCTCCATCTCCAGCTTCTCTGGTGGTCCTCAGGCCTGGCCCATAGGGACACCCATGAGGCACTTTCCTGAACACCAGTCTGGACCGTGGCTGAGACTGCACTTGCCAGCTGCCAAAAGATGCAGTTAGAAAGGTAGTAAAAAAAATAATAATAAGATTACTGAACTTTACCAGCTCAACATTTCCTACGGGCTTCATAAGCTCCTCTCATATTTTTATTATCCGTCACATCTAAAGCTTTCGTTGATCTGCATGTTAGACAAAACTGATGGAAGAACAAGCGTTCTCTTGCTGTCCGCCTTTGTTATTTAGGCAGTGGTTCTGCTCTAGGAACACAAGGAGGTGATGTTAGCGTCAGGAGTCATCTCAACAAGGCACACGCACACATGTGCATGCCACCAGAGTTAGCATCTCCTGGAGTGGGTGTCCGCCAGGTGTGCAGTTCCCTTAGTTCAGATGCTGGTGGAAGCCAGAGTGGGGCTGCAATTGTCTAAAGCCCTGGGGACACCAACATTTAAGGTATGGCCAGAAGGAGCTACTGAAGACAGCCAATTTAGAAAAACTATTGAATATAATTTCCCTATTCAAGAAAGGCAG